TTTTATTTTTATTTTAATAAAACAAGTAAAAGCGTTATAGCTGGTGTAGAACGATCATTAAATATGCTACACCGGATTGCGAAACAAAATACTTACTTTTATCATAGAACGCAAATATTATACTTTGTTATACCCTACACCAGCTGTGGTACAATGTATATTAAGTTAATGCGCACGTATGCAACAAGCCGAAGGTCTTAAAATAGATCCATCTTTTATTATACGGATCGATTCAGAATCATTATCTAAATTGATCGAAGCCTGTCTATCTCTCTATTCGTCTAATGTTTGTCAATGTAAATTTCTGTTCAACCTATATGCCTTACGATAAATAAGCATGAAATCTCAAAAAAGTGAAAAAATAAAATTTAATTGTTCGTAACTTTTTATGGGCATGGCCGATTGTTTCCATTTATGGACCTAGAGAGTAAAATGTCTCGCAAAGCAAATGTGAAAATTTCAGCCTTCTAATTTTTATAATTTCCGAGTAACGAGCAAAATTTGAAATATTCTTCTTAAAAAAAAACAGAGTTGCATCCAGTTTACAGTCGACTGCGCTGTTCTGCTCTGACCAATTTGGCCCCATTTTCAATATCAACCTGCGTGCAGAAACTTCCAATGTTTCTATAGAATTTGAAGCCGATATCTTAATTTTTGCCATCAGGAGAGTGGACAAACACCACACAGACGGACCGACGTGGCTAAATCAATCCAGAATTTCACGCTGATCAAGAATATATATATTTTATAGTGTCTCTGAAGCTTCCTTTTGTGTGTTACATTATGGAAAAAAACAAAATGAGTATGCCCCCATCTTACGGGTGCGGTAATTATAAATATAATGTTTTACTTTCTTTTTAGTTTTAATACAATACTGAAAAGAATTTTGTATAACTCTGTTATACTGACACGGGGAAAATCATGACCATGCCAACACGACCGGCACCGGCACCGCCTGCTTTGCGCGGACAGAATGCGGCTGCCAATGCTAATATTAGTCTGCAGCAATTACGTTTACTGCAACAACAACAAGAATTAAACCAACGACCGCAACAATATAATGTTACCGTACCAAAGTTAACTATTAAATTACCTCCGCCAACAAAAAGTTCAGGAGCGATAGAAACGTCAGTTAGCGCAGGTAATGACACAATTAATAGCAATTCTTTGGCAAGCAAATTTCCTCAAGCCCGTTACACACCAGCCCCGAATTGGAGTGATTCAACATGCGATTTGTTGACAGACGGAGAGACAATAAACTCGACAGGTAATAAAGGTAAAAAGCACCACCGAGACCGCCACCGCCTAAGATAAATCCGAAGACAAGAGCACCCACACCACCTATACCGCAATTCACTAACATTCTCAGTAAAATTTTCCAACGTAAAAAAGCGTCCAAAGCAATTGCGGTCAACACAGCTTCTCGGATATACAATTCGGCAACTTGCGATAGCACTGCGACCTTAGCACAAAAGCCACATCAGCAACAACAATCAATTACTTTGCACACCACCAGCAATGGGAATGCAGCTTGGAATACTATACCGAATTTATGCTCTGTGTCTTTAAACTCGACGCAGCAACAAGAACCTCAATTGAAAAGCTCCGATTCGCCGCTCAGTTCACCAACATTTACTCAAAAGTCAAATAGCGATTGCTTGAGCGTAGACAGTTTTAGTTCGGATTCGAATTTCTGTTCGCCCAACAATGGTAGCGTTTCGAAGCCTGAAAGCGCTTTCGAGGATGATTTTGGTGCGGCTGGACGATCACGACCCATTACTACTAGACCTTTAGATCTGTGGAAGACATTTGGCAGTACGGATGTAAATACACAGAATGATTACGGTAGTATTGGGACTGCCCATGTACATAATCTCAATACGATAAACGTCCGAATACACAACAGCCAAGACAATCCATTGTGTAATGGAGAAAGTTTAGTGCCACCCACGGCGGCTCCTAATATGCCCACAATTATTAAGCCGAAATTATCTCAAAAACCGAAAGCTCCAAACTCACCAACTCAAAAATCTAATAACAGCACCTCCTCCACGTACGGTGATGATTTTACAAGTCCTCCCTCGCCACCACCACCAACAGCAGCCATATAAAAACCAACGGTATCCCTATTAGACGTAATATCCGGGAAAGCTGGTGCTCTTCTGCTCGGTGCGAATAATGAAATAGGTGCGACTATTACTTCAAAGCAACCTTACGGTATAGCTTTGTATGACTTTGATAGTAACGAGGAGGGAGACTTATGCTTTAGAGTAAGAAATCCATATATTTTAATACATGTTTAAGTTAATTACAATTTTTTTTTGTATTATAGGAAAACGAGAAAATCTATTTACTTGAAGAAACCAGTGCCGATTGGTAAAGAGGTCGTACACGAGCCGGCTGTGAAAGTATATTTCCGATTAATCACATTGAAATAATGATACCACTCACTGCTAAGACCGAATTACCTAAAAATGTTTCAACAGTATCTTCAAATAATAGTACATCTACATACTCCGCCTATCCTAGTAATGTTAATCATTTACAAAACGTTAAATGTTTATATCATTTTCCGGCGGGAGGTGAAGGCGACTTGGAATTGAAGGTAAAAACTTGATCGATTTACGAAAAAAAAAACATTGATTTTCATTTCATTGCGTTAGGCAAACGATATTGTTACTACATTATATAAAATTAATGAAGCCTAATTATTTGGCGAATCAAATGGCCGCCAGGGACAATTTCCGGCTGATTTTCTTCAATATGTACCAACAAATGTACCCACAATATAAAATAACGTTTAACTGAAAATTTTCATTTAAAGGTAATTCTTACTTTCTCTGCTGTTCAAAATCAAAATCTAATGTAACTAAAGCAAAAAACGAAATCTCTTTTAATCATAAGTATTGTCGTGTAAGTGATATATATCCTATATAATATATTGATATGCCTATGATACGATAGAATCTCAATATAAGCAATATTGTGTCCATATACAGGTAACTCTTTTTACACGGTAGACGCTTTCTTTAGAAAAGCTTGCAAAAAAATCATTTAAAAAAATATGAAATATGAACTATGATAAATTTGGGGTTTTGCTCTATAACTTTAAATAAATCGTGTCAAACACAAAAACTCGAAAATCGAAATATTTTCCCAAAAGACCGTGCAAAAAAAGCACTAACAAAATCCATATTATAAAAAAAAAAAACATTCGGTTTTAAACAAAATTAAAGTGTAGTGAAAATTCCAAGGTGCAACATAAAAAAATTGAACTTGATAACAGGTGAGCACATGGACTAGCCTTTGGAAATTTTATCGAAATCGTTTATTGCAACTGACCACTCTGATGCAAAATAAATACTGAATAACAAGATGTTCTGGTCAAGTTGAAGTACAACCAGAAAAACAAGAGCAAAAAAGTGATCGTGGAATTCAGCTATTTCCCGTTGTAGATGAAGTCGGCTAGTAAAGTCAAAATTAAAGGAAAAACAAGATACAAAAAGAGATTCCTGTATTTCTTGTTATTGGTGAATCGTGCTATTACGAAATAGGATAAAAAAAGAGGCCGCGTAAAAAAAACCGTGTAAAAAAAGAATTGTGTGTTTATACATGCTTGATGCGAAGAACGTATTTTTGCTTTTGAAATTTCTACTTCATTTCGCAAACAAGTTTCCTTTTTACACACACGCACACACACACACATACAATTTTCTAATTTGTTTGTTACACATCTTTCCTATATTAGATTATGTCTTTTTTTTAGTCTAAGAATTCAATTCATTAGTCTAAAATTAAAATAATAATAATAATAGATTATTGATAATTGCTTTTCATTTATTTAGATATAATAGTTAGTTTACATGTTTGGTAAGTAAAATCCGATTAACTTTCTTCTTTTTATTTAGTTGTACTTTTTATACACTTACGCCCAGATGCTTCCAAATTCTTAATCGATTTTTTAATGCAACAGCTGTTTACAAATACAGACTGACTTTTTCAATTAAACGGACGGTTGTTTAAAAAACAGACCGACTCTTTGAATTATTCTCAATTCTAAACAAATACAGAGTAACTTTTTATACGCTTACGCTCAGATGCGACTAAATTTATACGCTTACTCTCAGATGCCTCCAAATTCTTAGTCGTTTTTTTAATGCAACAGCTGTTTACAAAACAGACTGACTTTTTCATTTAAACAGGCGGTTGTTTACAAATGCAGACAGGGAATTGTCATCTTGTAAAATATGTATAGAGTCTTCATGCTGTCGTTGAGGTGTATACAACCACCTTCAGCGTGTTACTCAATTGAAATAAAGCAATAAAGAGTCAAACATAACCTAGAAAGCAAAAAATCAATAAATTTAGTAAAAAAGCATCAATATTTCATCATCACGTGAAATTTTGAATATCATCAATGGATTTCTATAAAGTTACTGGATTATGGATCTAAATTTAAGTTAAAAGGTCCAATCCATATCAAATACAAACAAAAAAAAAAAAATAAATAAAATATGTATACGAAGGCAATTCAGAATATTTGCGTTGTTTTACAACACCCAAATTGCACTTCTAATTGTATATACGTTTAATTGTAAATAAACTATAAGAAGGGATTTGTCAGAAGACAGTCGGGCCAACTCGATGATTCCGACATACAACAAAGGATCTGAAATTGGTTAAAAAAAACCAATACGCAAGACTTCTGCCTTCATTTCAAGCTTTCAAAAGCAGTCAAAGTTTTGATAAGAAATGGTCGATGAACCAATTTCATCCAAATTCAGTAATTGGTGCGTTCATGCGAAAACCGATATATTTTTTCAAAGAAGTCGACGTAAAATGTTTTTTTTTTGCATTATCAATTCTTGTAAAGTTTATTTTACTTAAAAATTGCAAGAATTAAATTAATACTAGCAACCAATGTCGAGACGCGTGAATGGCAGCTTAAAAAACATCGGGAAAACAATAAAGTTTTGTCGTATAAAGCACAAGTCTTATTAACTTAGACTACTTCGCCAACGAAAGCGCCATTAATTGAATTTGCATTTTCCCTCTCTTCATTTGTAGTTCGTATTATCCACTACATAGCTAAGATAGATTATTAAATATTTTTTTTTTTATTTTTCTCTTTATTTAATATACACACAGAAAAATAAAAATTAATATATTTTTTTTTATTATCTTTTCTCTCGAGACTATGGTCATTGTACATCAAGAAGTTTTCGATTCAACATGTAGCTGTCAAATTTTCGTATTAATCTACTCCTCATCGATTGCAGTCTGACATATCCACAGCTACAGCAGTGTCCCAATCACGTAAGTAACCGAACTCGTAGGCGTTCAACCAACGACTTGCATCCCAATCATAGCGTAAGACGGCCTCACTGGAGGTTCCGTACAGTTTACTGCCTACGGTAAAGATTTCATGAAATTCACGCTCCTCCCAAAAATTAATAATTTCCCAACGTTGGGTGCGTATGTCGAAACGTTCCATGCAAGTTCCTAAACCTTCGCAACAATAAATGTTATATCCAATGGCGGCACTACAACAAAAACTATTCACTTCGCGCATTGGCGGCAAATCTTTCCAACGTCCTTCGCGTGAGTCATAACGTTCTGCAGTACGGAGGCTGCGAACATCGTTTTCTCCGCCCATCACATAGAGTACACTGTCAAGGGTTACAGCACCCATTGAGCTCCTTTTTTCACGCATGCAACTACTGTGCGTGGCTTTGTTAGTTATCAAATTCAAACACTCGACAGTATCCGTGCAGACTTGAGCTGTATGACCACCCAAAGCGTATAGACAGTCATGCGCTATCAATGAACGATGATGCGAACGATCGACGAGAAGAGGTGTTAAATCATACCATTGGTCGCGATAAATGTTGTAGTAATAAGAATCCCGTATACTACTGTGATTTCCAACGCTGCCACCCTGTATATAGAGTATGTTTTTGTGAGCAGACAAACTTAAAGCGAAACCTACACGTGGTGGAGTTTTGATCGGAGTGCATTTAGCAAATTCGGCGTCAAAACGAAAGGCATCGCAACGGCGACCCATCTTATCTATTACGAAAATACGTGGCACTCGACTGTCTTCACAACACTCTACTTCGCTCAACCATTGCGAACAGGAAGGTTCTTGGCGTAGGCCTGTCAGGGATCGGGCAACAGTAGCACTTACACAAGCTGGGTGTATAAAATTCAGCAATTGACCAAGGCAATGAAAACGTTCCTCCGGACGATAATCAGCCCAACGAACCAAACCTTTAAGAACTTTATCGTCAGAATGCATGAACAATTGATCTAAACTTAAAATTGCCGCTAACTAAAATCCAACAATATTTCAAATTTTTATTCGCGTAAATGTGAAATGAGTTCTTTACCTCTTCGTAGGTCATCTCAAAAAATTCTTCACATTGCAACACCTCTAAGAAATGACCGATAATATACTCCTTGGCACACTCTAGCAATAAATAGTTGTTTTGTTTCTCAGCAAATTGCTTAAAACCTAAACAATTTTCGGCGTCCAGCAGATTGGTCATATATTCTGCGCACAAATCTGCTAGATGTTCCAACTGCAAAAAAGTGGCAGTTTGCAAAACTTGTTGCACGCAATCGTCTGTTAAATCCAGTTGACTGGTATAAATAAAGTCAATCGCCATTCGCAAGCACTGAGCATCCATTTCTTCGAACTTAATTTCCGGTTGATGACTTTCGGGAAAGTTACCACTAAACATGGCCATAAAATATGGGCTGGCAGCAGCTAATATATTTCGATGCGCCAGAATGCGTGCATTTTCACATATCAACACAACGTCAGTGAACTGAAAGAAAATGAAAGTTAAGCAGTGTCTTTAAAAATATCGATTTTTGACTCCCATCAACCTGTCCATTTTTACGGAATTCATTTAATTGCTTCAATAATTTTTGACTATAGCCTTTGCTTAACGTGCGGTATAGCTTGGGATTTAACTGTCTTTCTAAGCCCAATTTATTTGGTTTATTTTGAGCCATTTTGAAGAAGTTTCAAATTCATTAATGAACAAGTTGCCAATTTTTATACTTTATTTACAGCTACTTTTCATTGACATTTGTTGGGTCCTGCGCATTCTCTCCAGGGAGCACAACTTGCACGTCACTTTACAACTCGAAACAAAGGCAGCATGACCACTTTTCTGATTGATGTTATAGTTTAATTATATTTAATATTTAGAGTTATGCTGGCGTGTTAGTACTTTAAGCCGAAAGATATGCTAAGAATTTCTTTACTTTGTAAACGATGCCGTTTGTGCGAACTTCGAATTTCACAGCTTGAGAGAGTAAGTAAATTAGCGAACGTCAAAAAAAATGCACTGCTTTACGTAGCATACGTTCAAGCTCTTTTTTATCGTTTGTGCTGCTTCTACCCTTCTCCACTTTTTATTATATTTCACATTATTGTCGTCTATAATAAAATTTTCATGGTCCGTTATGTATCGTCTCACAAAACTCTGGACTTTGCCTCGTTTCAGAAATGACTGAAAAATGGGAACACTTTCTGCTAATTTTCAGTAGTAAGTCATATATTACCCAAATTCCAAGTCGCAATTGGAATCAAACAGGTAGTTTTCAGATTCCCTCATTTAATTACTCCCCAGATGCTTCCAAATTCAGAGTCGCTATTGCAATCATACAAGTGGTTGCCTCCGTATCCGAAATATAGGGAAATATTGTAAAGCATCGTGTGGTCACCAAATGCAGACTCGCTCTTTCAATTAATCTAAGTTGCTTCCAAATTCAGAGTTGCTTTTTCAATTTATTCACACATTGGCTGTCAGTCAATTAAACTAATTGTCTGAATGAATATTGGATTTTTTTTTGGATGTTGCGTTACAGTGGCCTAAGCCAATGAGAAGCGTGGTTTATACGTCCAGATAATAAAATGTGAGTATTTGCAGGAAATATATAAGGACATTATTAAGATAACAGGCTGCAGCCATAATATTTTAAGGCCAATATGTTAAGTGGAATTGTACATTGTTAAGCTGCTCACTCCACCACAGTTTAAAGTAATAAGTAAAAATAATTTTGTATTAAAAAGAGGTTTAGGTTGAACTTATTATAAATGTGAAGTTTACAAGATGGCAATCTTGAAGAAAAGAAGACAAATGTGTTCCATTTTCATCTGGTCGAAAGTGAGTGAATGGTAGAGATAAAAAGGGCGACAAAGAAAATGTTGAAGAAGCATAGGCAAACAACAAGGAAGTGCCATAATTTTTAGATTTGATATTCTCTCTTAAAGTTATCTATAAGAACAGGAAAGTAATTTTGTTATATCGTAAATTTTTTGTTTAATAACTTTTGTTCTCAAGAAGATGAAAGTTCATAATTGTTTGCTAAATTTAATTAATGACTTTCTTCATTGCTTTCGCAGCGACTATTTATATTAAAATAATAAAGCGGCAATCTTTCGTGGTGCATGGCTTACGAACAGTCAAAGCAAATATGACTGGCTTTGTTTAAACGTAGACGAACATATAGCCTAACACATATAGCGTTCATTTTCGGCATTGTTGATATTCAGTCAATTTTATTTACCTTTTGCTATTTTTGTTTCGAAAGGTTGACACGACCCTACGTTGCTTACAGATACTCGGTCAAAGAACTTCTACAATAACCCCATACTTTTGTGGTCGCAAGCTATACTTTTGTGGTTGCAAGCTATACTTTAAATAAAGGTATTTACTTGGATCTTCGAATCTGTTCTCATTATTTGCATGTTTCTAAGTAAAACTATTCTTAAATGTTTCATTAGCGCTGTTGTTCCTCACTTTTTTTTATTTTTTTATTAGTTTTTGTTTCCATTCGGTATGAAAATGTTTCGAAAAGACAATTATCTTAACAAATGGCAATACCGTAATATCTCATCATGCGGTCACGTCGCAATAATTTACCACATTATTAAAGTGACTCCCTTTTTTTGTTTCTACCTTTTTAAAATGTTAAATGGCCAAGAGATTTTCTATAAGCTCTTCAAAGCACTTTTGAAAAAAAACCAAAGAGAGGTTTTTAGAGTAGTTTCCATTTATTCACGTGGTTTTACCCTCTAAAACAATAATTTGGAACATGATATCGTAATGTAAACATACCTGAAGATTGACTGTACAATATCAGTTGAACATATGGTTTTCTTTCTTTAGTAAATCAAAATCACGTAATTTAAAGAAGTGAAGTATGATTAGAACATTAATAAAGCGAAAGATTTCTTTGAAAAGAGAATTTAATAAAGTGAAAGAAATCATTTTCCTATAGAAACAGAAATAATACACTTAAATTTCAATTTACCTTGTTTTTAATAAAAGTGGAAAGGAACATTTCAAAATCATATTGTGCTTGAAATATTAACCATATGATTTTGTTTGATTTCATAAAGCGCTGCCTTGTTTGTCGGATTGTGTTCAACCGCATATAGAATGAAGATGAACTTTGGTATTCTTTTATTATCTGAAGGTGTCTACTTTCTTGTGCAGAATTTTTTTAGCCTGAAATCAAGCGGGCGGAATAAGCATAAGTGTTAACCTTTGACAGTTTGGTCTGTTTCATATGAGAAAAACTTTTACATTATACTGTTTCATACCATTTTGTTCTTCTGCGTAGCAAACAAATGTTGCAAAGGTCTTGCAAACTTCATTTAATTTTAGTTGCGTTCTATGCTTCATAGAATTTATTTGCACCCCGAATTATTCTCAATTTATACTCAACAATTTAGTCGCATCCCGAATTATTCCCAATTTATACTCAACAATATAGTCGCACCCCGAGTTATTCTCAATTTATTTATTTATTTATTCTCGCTATGTAAACAATTCATTTGGTTGCGCAATACCATAATAATAATCAGCTGTTATTTGAAGAATATTTGCGGATTAAAATTATAAAAGACGGACGGTTAAATCAATAATTCGGTCAAAAATATTGTAAAATGCAAAATAATACGACATTTGGCGACCAATCTTTGGCTTATTTGAATTTTTCAAAAAAAAAAAACGTGAACCGATTACGAGCCTTAAGCTTTATTCGTTACTCTGTGTGTGAGTGTCGCATCCTTCGGACAGAAACTTCCTATTAGAAGCTTCCCTGTCGTCGCTGCAAACTTTTTGACGAAATGAATATAATCCTATCTTTTGGTGGTGGATGCAAAAAGTAACATAACGGGGAGTAAAAATTTTTGCCATCTTCCATAGTACCACGTAAACTTATTAATGGCTTAGATAGATAAATTAATGATTACCTATGCTTGGATGCAAAGATTTTAATTTTTCTTTTTATTGTTATTTAATTTTTTTCATGTTTTCCTTGTCTTCTTTATAGGTAACATGCAGTTTATCGAGCCAACCCATTACACCGAAATTGTAATGAAACCTGCGAGGTAGATTAAGGAAAATTTTTTCATGTCCGCGATTTACTGCATTTTCACTCTTCCTTTCTATTTAATACTCATTTGCCATGATGCAAATCCTGGAAACGAACTGAATTGGGTGAAAATGGAAAACTATAGCCTGCATGATCGGTCATCGAATTTAAAATGGCAAGAACTACAAAAAACCAGACAATGAGAATATGAAGTCTTATCAAAATCATCAATACACCAATAGGTCCCATATTGCTACATATATGTTCAATTGTAGTGCGTGAAAGCAAACTTATGGAGACATTGGAACTTTTGCTTTGTTTTTGATAGACCAAACAATGATGTATTTATGACAATAAAATAAAATCACATTTTCAAGCACAAGATAATTTTAAATTGATTATTTACACTTTTACTAAAAAAATAAAAAATCAGCTGTTTCTATACGCATGAAATTTTTTTCGCTTTGTTAATTGTATTTCATTTAAAAAAATTAGTTTTCAAATGAATTTATCGCTTCATTAGTTTTGCACTTCATTAAACAAACACTGGCCATATGATTTAACAACGCACGCAAGCCATGCATTTATTCATTAACAAACCATTATGTTTCCTCTTTGAAACAAATTCTTTCAAGCGCTCTCATACAAATTCAACTGGCATGCTTTCTCTCTTTTTATTTTACTGGTGTTTTTCATACAAATTCAACTGGCATGCTTTCTCTCTTTACACTTTACTAGTGTTTTTCATACAAATTCAACTGGCATGCTTTCTCTCTTTTTATTTTACTGGTGTTTTTCATACAAATTCAACTGGCATGCTTTCTCTCTTTACACTTTACTAGTGTTTTCATACAAATTTAACTGGAATGCTTTCTCTCTATACATTTTAATAGTGTTTTACATCCATATTCGACTGGCATGCTTTCTCTCTTTACATTTTACTGGTGTTTTTCTAGTGTTTTAATACAAATTCAACTGGCATGCTTTCTCTCTTTACATTTTAATAGTGT